TTAACATTGTCAGCATTTTTTAAACAAATTTATCTTCAATTCAGGAGGGGATTGTGATCACTTTCTTTTTTGTCGGAAGACAAAATTTGAGCAGCGACACTGTGTACTGTTCCGCGCAGCTTTCTGAAATGATTGCTTATAGAGGAAATTATTTTTAGAAACTCTCATCTTGTATGCTGATATTCTAACTTTTTGCTTCTGATTTGCTCTCCAAACCATTTCTCAATTCTTATCTCCTTTAGCCGCAGTTTATTGGTCGCAGCTTCTGAATACCCTACATAATCTATCTTTATTACATTATCAGTCATCATGCAACATCGTGAATGACTATTCGTTGGATCGGTTCCATCCGAAATATTGGATGGACCAGTTGCATCGATCAAAAATCTTCTCGTTCCTCACTTGTCAAGTTCTTATCAGGTCAGGTTATTGCATCAAGATGGTTGAACAAGTGGCAAGTACGACCGGTAGTTCAGATGACGAGAAAACAAGAGCGTTGGCCGCATATCGCCGTAAGCTCGTCGAGTATCGTGAAGTGGAACAACGTTTAAAAGAACTTCGAAAGAAGGTTCCTACCTTATTATTTTATTTCGAAATTTCACTAGAGGTGAAAAATCTCATGAATTTTGAAAACTGGAGCAATGAATAGCGGATGCAACTGTTGGTTATAACCAAATTTAAGAAATGTAAAACAAAAGTAAGGAACCGATGTGACATGCGAAAATGATTTTGTGTAAGCATAATGACAGCGTTAATAATTCAGGAACAAGAAATGCAAAAGGAGCATGATAAATCCGAGAATGATATAAAATCACTTCAATCAGTTGGTCAGATTGTTGGTGAGGTGTTGAAACAACTCAGTGAAGAGAAGTTCATCGTTAAGGCAACCAATGGCCCACGTTATGTGGTCGGATGTCGTCGCTCAATTGATAAAGAACAATTGAAACAAGTAATAATTCCCGCTTACTAATGAGTTGGTCACCTGTTCAGTATGTAGGTGGAATATGGATTACAACGGGTGATAGAATCGTCGACATTTCGTCAGTTTAAGAAATTAAATTTGCTATGAACTGGGTGTTCTTTCAAAGTATTAATTTTAAAAGTTTGAAAATGTCAAGTTCATAAGGAAAGGAGATGACTTTAGGGCACTCGTGTTGCGCTTGATATGACCACGCTAACAATCATGCGACAGCTACCGCGTGAGGTTGATCCTTTGGTCTACAAGATGAGTCACGAGGATCCGGGAAATATATCGTATTCAGAAGTTGGTGGTCTTAGCGAGCAAATTAGAGAACTGAGAGAGGTTTGCTGATTCAGTTTTTCTTTTAGGAGTTGCAGAATTCGTTTCCATAAAAAAAGCACTTCAATGGATTGGGTATAACAAATTTGTGTGTATAAATATTGACGTTCGGACTAAATTATGTTATTGAACTTTAATAACTGAATTGTCAAGAAATTGGAAAAGTTTTCAGATTTTTTGTTGAATGAATGTGAAAATTTCATGAAAGTTGGTATCGTGAATGATTTCATCTATTTCACTAAATGCTTTTTGTAGGTAGTAGAGTTACCGTTGATCAATCCCGATCTATTCCGTCGTGTTGGTATAACACCGCCAAAAGGTTGTCTATTGTATGGACCACCTGGAACGGGTAAAACTCTCCTTGCGAGGTAAAAGTGACATATTTATTTCGTTTTTCGTTTGTTGATTTTTTTGGATTCGAAGACGTTATTGCATAAAATCTTCAGAGCGGTGGCTTCACAACTGGATTGTAACTTTTTGAAAGTGGTCTCATCGGCAATCGTTGATAAATATATCGGTGAATCGGCGAGAATGATCCGTGAGATGTTCAATTATGCTCGTGACCATCAACCATGCATTGTGTTCATGGATGAAATCGATGCTATTGGTAGGTGCTGTTATTGCGTTTGAGTTCACTTCTTAATTATTTTCAGAGTATACTTCCATTGTAAAAAATTTTCGCGATGAAACTTTCCCTCCATCAAGTGATGATAATTTTTTATAAGGGCGTACGCGGGAGATTAATTACGGTTTTTGATATTTACTAATAAAAATTAATGCGAGATGAAATGACGGCATGTTTT